CATTTACATTCCTGTGCACTCTACTTTGCTGTTTATAGTTCATTTTGTTTCTTAACGTTGAATTTACATCTTAATAATACTTATGTCCGTTTTTACCAACCTCTTATAAATTGTAAAGAATCTCTCTCCCCAATCTTCTCCGAATCCCCAACAATCCTCAAACTCCTTAACTCCAAAAGGCCGGTAACGCACTTGTAAACCTTCTGGTATTCCAGGTGTCTATGGGCGACGCCGATTGCTTACAATCAGGTGATCCATCTTTTTTTAAGTGGGGAAAATCAGTTAGGTTCTCCGCGACTCCGAACTTAACTTTTAGTTCCGAACTTAACTTTTAAGGGTCGTTGGTGAAATGGCTGTAAGATACTATTGAACGCTAGTTTAATGAGCAAAGCCTCACCTACATGAGGAAACGTAAGACAGGAATATAATGAATGCTTCCCTTTGCTTGTTCACTTTTACAACTTCCGTATAACTGGAGTTGAGATATCTGATGGTAATTATTTGTGGCTGTTCGTGTGACTGTCCACTATTGACCAACCAATCCAATTCGTAAACAAGTAGAAGTTATACAGAATGCTCGCTAGCGTTAATTTATTGAATTTCGTCGAATGATTTATGAGTCTTATTTACATTTCCGATCTTTTCAACTTGTCGTAAATTTTAGTACAGGTAATGGACAAGTACTAGAGGTTGGTATTTACTCTATATTTTATTGTTTTGAGTTAATCTTGAAACAATAATTAAGTTGACTTAGTTACTTTTAACCATTACTTTTATCGAAGACAAATCGTCATGTTCCTGGGACTCGCCGGAATTCAGTATTCTGGGGTTTAATAGTTGAACTTATCTACTGTAGATCCTGGCTTACAGGAGTTGTAGTAGGTTTGGGAGGTCGTGGCGGGCTTGCTTATCCGAAACAAAAAGAAAAACGTCATTACATTTTATAATTCGATTTAATTCTTCAGTTAACATAACACTAAACAGATAGGTATTTTTTACAATATTTTTTAGTTCAAACAATACACATGCACATCAATCCAATCTCTCCACAAGCCTATTCTATCACTACTACATAGTGTCGGTAGATCTAAAGGTCATCGACCTAGCCTAATTAGTGTTCTATCACCTCAATCATTCTGAAAGTGAGCGTATTGAAGCTCGACGTGCCAGGAAGGTGAGTGCCCAGCCTTATGTAAACCGATGGTGTTTTATTTTTCCTTCAATGGGGTTCCGCTTCCTACATCACCATTGTAAAGGTGTGACGTGAACGGAGGTAAAGGATTAGGTGCTGTTGAGGTTAAAGAAGATAATTAAGTGTTTAGACTTGTGATGTAACTTTGTATAATGTTATTATATCTCGGGTTAACTTTCTAATAAATACGTAAGCACTTTAAAGCAAGTTATTACGTTCGTGAGTTAAATTATTTAATTAAATTGCCCATAAGCATAAATTAGTTTATTAACAAAATACCTACAAAATTTTATCTAGAATGTATGTTTTAGTAACTCCAGTACTGCGTGAATGATGCTCTGCCCCTAACATAAACCTAAAGCAAATGGTAGGCAAAGCACAATTACGTTCAGGTAGGGAATATTTTGACGTGTTTTAGACGGAATTAAAAGAAATAATATTTTACAATTTATTTATTCAATATATCTCGTGTACCTATGTATTAATGTGACTTTTGAAATGTGATTGTAACATTAACTATTATATTTTTGTCAATAAGGATGTTAAATAGCATACAATACCAAATAGCAAATCCACTAAGCCTCGCATTGCCAATGCATGATTATAAGGAAACACTAACTTGTTGAAAACTGTTCTTACCACTATACCGTACCGACTTACCTAATAATTATTTCTATCAAAGTTAAAGGAAGTGCACCACTGCACCAGGTCTTAAATTCGTGATCACAGGTAATTTCCTCTATAATACCGGATGATCCATTTCTATCAGGCTATCCATCTCGTTACGACAACACGCGACTAATTTACTAAAGTTCCTGGTAGATATTGAAACCTATTAATTTAAATGAATTACCTGAAATATACCGGTTTACTCACATGAATTAAATGAGAAAAGTTCTGCTAGTCATGTACCAAATAAAAGTCCCGTTGGGACTTGAAATTAGAGGTAATGTTTAAGTCTCAATTAGCTCACGTGAGTAATGCACGAATACTGAAAGGCTACAAGCTTTTCTTGTGGAAAAACTATCGTAAGAGAATCATACTAAAAAGAAACGCTGAAATATTAAAACGTTACTCAACTTTAATTCGTGCTTAAGTATAGTTCTGTCACTACAAACTCATTGTAAAATGAGAGATTTTTTTTAAGGAGGAAATTATCGATTGTTTTCTCCCGCCTTGGTGCGGCGGAAGGGAGCGTCATACTCTTACTGACTAATAACCACCCCGTTCCCGAGCCAGAGCCCCGGCAACCCGTTAAGTCCTCTGCGGCTCCGTATCGGCATCAGCCCTATTGGGCCCCATCCGTGGTGATCTGATCACTCTTTGAGGCGCGCTCGGAATGCGACGCGCAGTACGTTCGGGGTTGGTTCTGGTCGGGTGGCGAGCCACCCATGCTTGCCGTCCGCAGGACCGTGCTTATGGTGGCTGGAGATCTTCCCGCGATCATCGACGCCACGATTTCGGTACAAATTAAAATTGAGTAGTTTTCCATACAATACCTGCCAGATGCCAATGTTATTCTATAAATAAAAGTTACCTGTTGATTGAATCGGCCCCTGTTAATTATAGTTAATAGAATTTTAAGTAAGACTAGTTGATTTGAGTGGTATCCGTTTAGCCAGTTTCTGTAAACATCGCTGCGATGCGAAATTTATTTTCTACAGCAGCAAGTATAAGCATATTGCTAATGTCCTTTCACCAGGCGTCATGTTCTAGTCTTTGTTGGATGAAATTATAATTTTTAACGAGTAGACATATTCCATAGATTCTATATAAAATAAGTAGTTTAATTCTTATGCAATTGCTTGGTCATTTTAAACTGTCAAACACCAAGCGGTCACCGGTGACCGCGACCTATTGTTCTTTAATTGTGTCTATAAAACCGGTACTCGACGAGTTAAAATTGTCAATACAATTTTAAAATGACCTAACAGATTTATAATTTATGACACAGGAAACTCTTTATTCTGAGAATGCGGGCGAAACCGCAAGTAGAAGCTATTTAATGTATATTATATACTTCATAGAATGAGACTTTATAATAGAGAGGATAATTGGTTAATATAGGTAATGAAGTTTTAAATATAATAAGTAAAGGAATCTGTATGAGTAAGTTTTAAATATAATAGGACAGTTAATAAGGAAATGTATACATGAACACAATAAAGAATTAGATGTTAAGTTTAAAGTTTCTGGTACGAAATAAATACGCAACTTCACACACCATTCGTCGTTTATTTACAAAAAAGAAAATTAATATTAATATTTTACATAAAATATAAATAGTATCTAAGTTTTACTTAACTGAGCATTATTTACAGAATACATTTTAATTTTCCTATATACTTATAGGTAACACCAATTCTTATAATAAGCAACTTAATAAATAAGGTACATTGTAATGTTTCAAGGCACAAAACTGTACATGATTTCGAATTGTGTATTTTATCTAATACTGCGAATCGCATAATTATACCTAATTACATTTAAGACATTTGAGCAAATAAACTGAAAGACAGCAGAAGGCGTTTTTATACATCGATTTTTGATAATAAATAGAAGCTGTCGTATTATTTTAATGGATATCTTTTCGGTAATCGTTCGGTTATAATGGTGTTCGCTGTCTTCCTTATAGGTACTCTAACATACATTAGAATAAATAACGCACGATTCCACTGGGCACATATTCAGGAACATGAATTGAAGAGTGTAAGATTACATAACTCATTAATATGTTTTCCTTCGATCAACAAAGTCCTGTAGGTAGTACTCGTACTTACTTCGATCATAAGATCCTTGAGTAACTCAGTGTAGTATAGCGCATTCACTCTTTATTGTTTTCTTTTCTTTTTAAATTTCACTCGGAGTCTTTTTGTAAATTCTTTAATAAAATTTTTGGTATTTCACGGTAGACTTACTTATATCTAACATCACCATCACTAAGTAAACTTGTGCTAAATTGTTGAATAGTAAAATAATGTACCACATTTTGAGAATCTGTGTTCAAGTTGTGTTAATCTGGCTCCAAGACCTATTGCAATTCAGCGAAGAGAACTTTTGGCTTAGAAAATATGAGTTATTTATAAAAATAAGACAAAACTTAGGACATTATCACCAAAAAGTTTCATAGGTTAAATTAGTGATGGTAATAGTGCTGCAGCTCCTCAGCATTGAACAATGTATGCTGGACTGGAATATCTGGAAAATAAAAACAACAACAAATTAATAAACTTTTATGGTGAATGAGGTTTACTTCCGTAGCATTATTTACAGTTACATAATTCGACTTTTTGCATGAAATATAATTATTACATTATACTTTCTACACCGACTGCTATAAATGTGATTGCAATATCTGTCAAAACCTGAATATTACTAAGATACATAATGTATGATGCACCTTAGAGATTGCGTCTAATAGCTTCACTTTCTCGACAGCTACATAGTTTAATGTATATGTATTGTAATAACCGTCCACAGACTAATAACCTTTATCATGTTTTATGCAGTGGTAATATTTAATTAAGTTATAACGATTATATTGTATTCCTTATAAAATAAATCTTGACAGATATTGACTCATACGTAATTGCAAGTGAAAAGCAGTGTTTTGGCTACATATACACACTACAACTACACACTACATGCGCATGAAATGATGCAGAGAGAAAGTTAGTCCTGTAGTCGTTAAGTAGCGTTTATGTTTAGAATAGTTTGGTCAGTTGTACAGTCGAGAGGAGACAGTCACAGTCAATAGAGTTGAGCAGTCAGTCATCGTCACATACCTTCAGTCAGTCAAGAGTCATTGTTATCGCACTTGAACAATCTTGTTGCCTCGTAGATAGTATTTCACGTCTTGTCTTCTGGTCTGTTCTGTGGAGGTCTGTGGCTTTGCTGTAGTCGTGCTTGTGGTGGGTATCGTGGTAGTGGTGGTGGTGCTAGTGGTTGTGGCCACAGAAGGAAGGGGATCAAGTATTTCCGCAGGGAGCACGCCAATCTCGTTGTCAGATACTACGGGTGTGGGCAGGAATGGTATCTCGCCCTTTGTTAACATTTCGCGGTAGGCTTCTAAATCAGTCAGTTTGAACTCTTCAGATGATCTTTTTTGTTGACTGTTATTAATGTAAGCTGTGACTTTTTTTAAGTTAGTAGTTATTTTTTGTATTTTTTCTGGTGTTAAACCCTGTTTTTTGACTGTTGGCGCGACAGATCGCTTAGGTGTCGCGTAATCCATATAACCATGTGTGGGCGTTCTAGGGTCGTAATCAATATAAGAGTCCGGGGCGGCGGGCTGACCGTACGAGTTGACTGCTCCCCATGACATGGGTTTGAAGGATGGAATAGGTTGTGGTGGTGGAGGAGGTTGATACGCTACGGGTGCTGCTGGAGCTATTGGATCTTCGCCATAGGAGTTTGGGTACGCAGGGGCATAAGAAGGAGCACCATAAGAAGGCTCAGACGCAGGTGCATAAGATGGAGCACCATACGAAGGCTCAGTAAGTGTGGCGGCAGTAGATGTGAATGCGTTTTTGATGGCGCTGTAGACGGTGTGGAGGATAGAGGGAGGAGGGTCGAGGGGCGTGTGTCCAGTGTGGCCGGAGTGCTCGGTGTGCGCAGTGTCCAGAGTCTCGCTCGGCGCTACGTCGCCCAGCGGGGTCAGTATGACGAGGCCGGCGTGGACGCCGTTCAGTTTACCTCGGCCTGTCTCGAAAATGTGTCATACTTAAGTAACATGATGTCATTAACTCGTCGAGTACCGGTTTTATAGACACAATTAAAGAACAATAGGTCGCGGTCACCGGAGACCGCTTGGTGTTTGACAGATTAATGAAGTTTTGGGTCCCCAAAAGTAATAAAAAATATTGATGAGTTATTTATGATATAGCTGCGTACAAAACCGCAACAGTAATTCCAACTACAAATCTCAAATGCTAAAGTACTAAACTGTATCTACATCTAGTTACTAACTACGTCATCCAACTTTTAACATTACATAATTATGTATACTTCGAACTACTATGATGCTTCGTAATGCCAGACATACAGAACTGAGGTCACGTGGTACCTAAACGCTTGTAAAACTGTGGTTCATCCCGATGAGGATGAGGTGGATCGTGGTACCCTAAAATGAATGCATTATAGTTAAATTGCTATACCGAAATACTGCGAAATACTTCCATTTGTCATACATATCTGGATTGAAATTAAGTTACGAATAAATATATATTTTCTTTTGTTCGCCGGTGGCACTATTTTCAGGTACTTCATTTTTTTAATCAAGTTACATCAAGAGGACAACATGCACAATATTATTCTAAATAAATTAACATGACGTGTACTTAAGTTTAAGCAAACGATTTTTTTTTATTTCTCACGTAAAACAACGCTTGCTTTGTATTTCGTCGTGTAGGTAAGGTTACAGAAGGCCTAATTACCCCGTCCCCCGTCCCCAATCAACCCCTAACAATTCTTAAATTCCTTATCCAAAAATATTAACGTAATTGTATGTGTTCCGGGTATCCAAGGGCGACGCCGATTGCTTATGATCAGATGATCCGTCTGCTCGTTTACCGGCTTATCCCATAAAAAACGAGTAAACAATAATATTACCTATATCAATATTGCTCATTCTAATTAAATATTAAACCATTGAATTGCATAAACTAAATTTACCGCCAATTTAATAAGGTTTGCCTCCCAATAATCAGGTAGGTATATTAGTGAAAGGGCCTTATTATGAAGTATTTTCTTCTGCGAATTGTGAAGTGAAAGTAAGTGCAGATAAATTATTTCATATAACATAACATCACGCCTTTTATCTCCGAAGGGGTAGGCAGGTTCACATTACGGCACTTAATGCCACAACTATGCAACCCCCACTCTTCACTATTTATGTTATGAATCCCATGTGAAAGGGGGTGAGCCTATTGCCATATACCGAGCACCGACCACAATTCCAGACTCCATCCTAGTACTAACATTTTTTTAAGCCTTGTAATACCTTGCCCGACCCGGGAATCGAACCCGAAATTTTATTTTGATGTCCGTGTGGTAGATTAATTTAAAACTTTAGATACGTATTTTTTCTTTTCTCATAAAATTAAATACTTTCAACGATATATTAATTTGAAATATCGTGTGACGTCACAGCGTGTCACATTTGTAGCACGATATGACGTAACGACCTCCTACTCCTAAAATTAGCGCCATTTTATCTAAGTATTGCAACTTAAAACGAGAAAATAAAAAAATACGTGTCTAACATTTTTTCATTATTTAACTGACGGACTTATTAGATTTTTAATTTTGATACCCTGGAAACTACCCAATTATCTAAAGCTGCTCTACATATTGCGGATTCAATACCCACAAGCCGTACAATATTCTAATATTTTTCATACTTTACTTGTTCACTACTACATATTCTTATGATTTTATTTTATAGTTTAGTATGCAATTCACGTTTAATGTTCACATAAACACAAACATAAACACGTTACTTCATAAATAGGCATAAGTTGAAACTTAAGAGAAATGTTGGTAATCGCTGGTTGTAAAATAGGAAGAAACTATAAGAGAAGAAGAAGAAATAATAATAAATTATGTGATTCACGTGTTTTTCACAATAAAACTAAGGAACCTAATATAACAAGTCGTGCTCCATTAATTTTCTTGCACAAATAATGATGCCCAATTCTTTTCTTTTCTGCAATTTCAAGTTTATAGTATATTGCACTTATATGACGTAACATACATCTGATGATTTCGATAACAATACCACCTAATGATATTAACGATATCCTTATTTTTCTGTCACTGCAACAGCAATTGCATTCGGATGTATGTAAGTTATGTCATAATAACACAAGAATACAATAGCTTTTCTAAAAAATATCTTTGATGAAACATTACCGGGTACTTATGGAATTTAGGTAATGTTTTACGTCATGTTGTGCAAATGATGGTTAATTAGCAACAATTTTAATGGCATCATTAAAGCGCAAGTAACACAAGAACTGCTTTATGATAAATAGGCGGAAAAATACATTATATTATACAATATTCGCCATAAATTCGCAACATAGGTGCGTAAGTATTTTATACAGGTTGATTTGTTATGAGAGCACAATCTCGTATGGGTTTGTAGAACAGATCATTTCCAATATTTTTGTCCAACAAAAGGTTAGGTGGAAATTAACGGGTATTATTAATATTTGAATTTTGTTATTATGTAGATATTTGACGATTTGAACTGGTAAATAAACCAATAGATCACTATAATTTAAAAAAATACGTCAAGTTTCTTTTTTGTTTTTTCAGAAAGTTACCGCGGGCATCATTTTGAAATTAACACTTAAATTGAAATATTTTAATAATCATTCATTTCCGTCTATCCCTTTGTTCGACAAAAATGTTGGAATTGATCTGTTCTACAAACCCATACGCGATTATGTTCTAATAAAAAATCACCATGTATATTTTACGTTTTCCTCCTAGTGATTGGCTTTATAAGTAACAATAACTTACGTCACCATTACGTTATGATAAATATTATTATGTTTTACGCATGCGTACGTCATGTAGCGCGGTGATTTTATATTATTATTAATTTTATTATATTCATGAATATGTAGATTAACTTTCTCTAAATGGGTAATTATATACAACTGCTACTTCCTAAATAATTATAGAAAAAATGAGATAGGTCCAGGTAATGTCTATATTTTGTATACCTTAATTTCCATTTATGTTAACTTCCGTGAAAAGGAATATTTATAGGCATTGGTAAAATAGTTAAACCTTTATCATATAATACTGTAACAATAATGCAGTACCTGGCCGAGTGGTCGCAAGTGCGACTGCTAGGCAAGGGATGTCGAGTTCGATTCCCGGGTCGGGTAAAGTAATTATTATTGGGTTTTAAAACAAATATGAGTAGTAGCACGGAGTCTGGAATTGTGCCTGGTATATGGCAAAAGGAGGAAGAAGAAGAAGGACATGGGTCTCATAACATAAATAGTGAAAAGTGGGTGTTACAATTGTACAGTGGCATTAAGTGCCATGATGGTATGTTATGTCAAAATGTATCATCCGCATAAACTTCAAGATCAAATAATAAAAGAAATTATTCCTAACAGCCGACAGCCGTCGCATATGATCGGCGCTCTATTCATAGGTAAGGTGTGATGTTCGCCGCTCACAATCAGCTACTTTCTGTGACGTGTGAAAGTGATGAGTGCTTTGCGTCAACGGACAATTTATAGTAAAATGTCAAGCCCTAGATGGGTTGAAAGTCGCATAAACCGCGGCAAGTCTAGTTCTGTGTTCTCGATACATGTACCTGCGCGCCCGTGACCACCGAAGGTCACTGACTTCGACTATTTATAGCTACACGTGTTATTACTCTATAGAATTCAAAAAAAGAACTGCGATTCGATTTCTAAAAATGTATATATAAAATGTATAAAAAAAATTCTCAGTAGTAGCACGGAGTCTGGAATTGTGCTGTGTGGCTCACCCCCCATTACATGGGACTCATAACATAAATAGTGAAAAGTGGGTGTTACTTTTGTGTGCACCTCTGCCTATCCCTTCGGGGATAAAAGGCGTGATGTTATTGTATATTGTTATATGTACCTCGTGTGTTCATAAGTTTTGAGACAAACTTTTTGCTTATAAAAATAAAATAAAAATTACTGGCTACTGTATATTTCTTTTTCTAATTTTGAATTTGGAATGTTAACTTTTAATATCTATGATTTCGGATTATTTTATTTAAATTTTCTCGTAATGGAGGGAACAAAAGAAATACGTGCGACCGTCATTTCATTATTTAAGGTGGGAAGAAAACCTATGGACATTTTCCGAGAACTGAAAAGTTTTGGTGTGAGCCGTAACTTCGTGTATTACACTATTAAACGATACCAGGAGACAAGTTCTTTACATGATCGGCAAAGAAGTGGTCGTCCACGCTCTGTGAGGACGCCTGTGAACATTAAAATCATCCGAGAGCGACTTCGCCGAAATCCATGCCGCACTCAGAAGAAACTCGCTCTGCAGACCAATATTTCGCGCGTTTCAGTCAACAGAATACTGAAATATGATCTCAAGGTTAAGGCGTATAGCCGTAGAAAAGTACACTTTTAAACGATCGCCTTCGTCAATTGCGACGCGAACGTTGTCCAATACTGCTTAGGAGACACGATGCGAGGAAGATACTCTTCACCGACGAGAAAATCTTTACCGTCGAAGAAAAGTTCAATCGACAAAACAATAAAGTGTATGCCAAAAGTAGCAAGGATGTCCCACCTTCATCACGGAATGTCTCGCGTACTCATCATCCGGCTAGTGTCATGGTATGGTGGGGAGTTTCGTACGAAGGTGTCACTCAGCTTCATTTCTGCCAACAAGGCGTCAAGGTGAAAGCCAAAATTATCAAAGTGACATTCTAGAGACTGTTGTGAAACCCCTGTCTAATACCCTATTCCATAACAAGTATTGGGTTTTCCAGCAAGACTCGGCGCCATCCCATAAGGCTAAAACCACCCAAGCTTGGCTGAAGGAAAATGTGCCGGCCTTCATTGCGGCGAACGAATGGCCCTCCTCCAGCCCCGACCTCAACCCGCTGGATTATTCTCTATGGACCGAATTAGAGCTCAGAGCCTGCCGAAAGTCCCACCCAAACTTGGAGTCACTTAAGC